GGAAAGAGGAAATGAAACTAAAAAAGGTTACAGGAGAATTAGGTGGAGGAGATATCATATCGCCCAGCAAGAGGGTTATGACCATTTCAAAATCAAACCTTGACCTGCCCAGAATAAAACGCGGATTCCAATTTTAAATGAGGATTTACTTATTGATGTCGACTTGAGGCTGTTGTTATTATTACTGGCGTTAAAAATTGTTTAAGTAAATGTGTGTATCATATAGAATAATCCTTTTTTATTAATAATATAAATTATTATTAACAGTGAAAAAGATACTTTATATATTTGTAATTTTTTTAAATAAGTAAGCATTTGTTACTTTTTTATAACTAAACTCAAATACACTTGTTATGAGAGTTGTTATTTTTAAATAGGTATTTTTTGGGTTAAAATATACTTTTTATATAAGTTTATTTATTTTAACTTTTAGTCCACATAGTTTAGAGTATACTATTTTAATTTTTATATTTATTTATTTTTTCAATCTTTTTAGTCTTTATAGTTTAAGGTAGCTTTTTTAGTTTCTATACGTAGAGTTTTGTGTTGATATTATAGAGATATTAATTTAATTTTGTGTATTTTTATAATTTACTATAAATTAGATTTTTTGACACTTTGTATCTCTTTTTTATCCTCACTAACAATATCCATTATTGAGATATTCTTTTATTCTCACAAAATTGAAGACTTTTATCCAGTGATTTAAAATCCAGATGGAACCGGCCGGTCGGACCGGTTGGATTGGGAACCAGTGGTCCAACTGGTCCGAATCTTAAGTTGGATCGGTTATGCAATCGACCCGTTTCAAACCGGATTGAACCGGTCAATTTTTTGGTTCAATCGATGAATCGGTGGGTCAAACCGGTTCAACCACTTTTTTTTTCTTGTTTTCTTTTTTCTTTTTTATAAATTTTTTTAAGGGGACCATAAACCACAAAAAATAAAATGAAAATTGAATCTCTTAATGGAAGAGCAAAGAGTCTTATTAAATATAACAATGACTACTTGTTCTAATGTATTTATTTGTAATATATACAACTTAAATAACTTTTATAGTATATTATCAATTTTAAATTATATATTTAATAATATAATAGCTATGTAGATATTACATATATTATTTTGTGATATCAATTGCAAGCATATTATATATGTACATATTATTTATATTTTTAATTTGTATTAATATACAGTTTAACATGTAATTTTTTATGTATTTTTTTACAAAATAAAAATAAAAATAATTTTAAATAAGATAGAAAAATTGAAATTTAAAATAAGATATGAATTTATTAAAATTTATAAGTATAAAATATATTTAATATGAATATTTTTTAATAAAAATAAATAAAAATCGAGTCATGCAGTTCAACTAGTGACCCACCGGTTCAATCTTTGACCCACTGACCCAGTACCTTAACCGGTTCGATAACCGGTTCGCATATTAGTATCACATCAATAATATATTATCACAACATTTATCATTAATAATATTCTTTTTTAATTATAAAGACAAAAGAAATATGAAAATACTTATATAAAAGACTAAATCAAATAATTTGTAAGTATATGAAGTAAAAAATAAAGTTTATGAAACGAGAATCAAACAAATAATTAAATTTTAATATTTTTACTTTATAAAACAGTTCATGTCAAATAAAACCAACACCTAAAATGACAAATGTTCTAAAATTGGTCGAGTGATATGTTGACAATAGCATGTAAATGTAAACAAATTAAACCTACTTTTAGTTTCAAGCGATCTTCAAAGCTTATATAGGTATTTATAACCAAAGTTTCAAACTAAATGGTTTCTTTTCACCTAAAGATTTGTAATATTGGCCCTTTAAACCATATGGCACATGACAAATCCTATTGAATACAAATTATTTTGTTTGTCCATAACCAAGGATTAAAAATAATGATTTGGGTACAAAAAAAAAAAGAAAGGAAAAATAAAATGTTGGTATGAGCGAATAACCACTTTGACCAAGGCTATCTGTCAAAGTTCAAAGACTAGTGTGCTTGGATCCTGAAATTGTCCAGAAGATTCAACCCTCCACTGAATCGAGAATAGAAATATTTTTATCGATGGAAATTTTCTATAGATAATTTTTCTATAAAGAATCATTTCAAACGTATAAAAAGTATGCAATTCTAGAACAAATGGACAATGAAACAATAGATATTTTGTCATATGCATGTAAAAATATGACATTATAGAATACTGCTTATTTATATATGAACAACTTTATTTTTTATTTTTTAATTTTAACGGTCAATTTATACAAATTTGATAATAAAACAAAAATGGGAGAACTTTAAAATTAGGGTTTAAAACTACGCAATTAAAAATGGGATCAGAATTACTGGTTTTAATCCTCCAAAAATTGTTCTGTTCTGTTCTGTTTATAGTTCTTCATTTTTCTTTTAATTTTATGATTTTAACCTCTAAAATAAAAAATTACGGACTAAGAATTAAAAAGAACATAGCAGAAAAATTAGAGTGGTTGGGATTTTAGAAGCAAGTAGCTTACCTTATCATGTCTCCCGCCATCACCACTCTGACGCCGCCGTTATCCCTCTCCGTCACTTCGGCGGCGCGTGGTCCACGGCAGCCGGCGAAGGTTAAGACCGAGAAAAAGCAACGGCAATGCAGCCTCGGCTTCGGCGGCGATAAGAAGGAAACAAAGTGGCAATGCGTGGAGGGTTGTGGGGCATGCTGTAAGCTTCAAAAGGGTCCTTCTTTCCCCTCTCCCGAAGAAATTTTCGACGACCCTTCTCATGTTCAGGTCCATTTTCCACTTCCACCTTTTCTTTTCCAAAAATCAAATAATTCAATTTATTACTGGTTGCATTTGATATATTATGTGAATTGAACTATGGACATGGGTTAGGGTCACAATGAGACTAACCAACTAAGAAATAGTTCAAAACCCAATTCTATAACTGACCATTGAAAAATTATTTATTTCTTCTACTGTTGATGGTTGATGTGTTGCAATGGATTTCAGCTGTACAAAAGCTTGATAGGTCCAGATGGATGGTGTATTCATTATGAAAAGAGTACTCGGAAATGCTCTATTTACCCTGGTTTGGTTATTTTACCTCTCACTGTTGATGTTTGAGTTTCATCAATGGGAATGTTTGGTTTAGACTAGAGTTTAACTTGTCATTTCTTTGTTCTTCTTCAGAGCGTCCATATTTTTGCCGTGTGGAGCCAGCGGTGTTTAAATCTTTGTTTGGAGTTAAAGAGAAGAATTTTCACAAGGAGGCCTGCAGGTCAACCTTTCTCACTCACATTTAATTATGGTTTTCAGGAAGAATCACATTATAATCAAGTTTGATTCATATGAAAATGTTTTCCTAAAAGAATTATTTTGTTTGGTGTCAAGTGAAAACATTATGAGTAAAATTAATGTTGACCATATAACCATAAAATGAATGGTTAAATTTAAATGGAAATTTAAATTCTATCTCCTTACTTCAAGCTGGCATTAGGTTCAACTTTGTGGCAAGATCTGTTAATGAAGCTTCTGTTGTTGGGGTTGGTTATGTTTATGAGGAGGTTCTGTAGTATCACTGGTTGGAATGCAGAGTTAGTGAAAGTTGTGCTGAGAAAGAAAAGTCAATTTTTGTATTTACAATAAATTAACATGTTAATCTTTGCCTTTATTTGGATGGGCACTAATGGTGGGTAAGTCTTTCGAAATGATGCTAGGTTTATTATAAAACAGTAGGTTTATTATAACATGACAGTATGGTGAAGGTGAACTCAATCTAGTAATTGTATTAAGAAAAGGCCGCATCGTACATTGAAGTGAGTCTGGTAGATGTTTGAGCCGTTGAGGCACCAATCACTCACTCCTTACAAGGGAGAAGAGTTGCTTATACAACTACCAAGAATAGCACTCGTACATGCTGAATTTTGCCCCATATTTTCATGTTGACTTTTATGTAATTTATCCACTGAAAAGACTGTTCCTAAACAAGCAAAAATTAATAAGCAGAACATTTTCCTTGAAGCTATTTTTTCTTAAATCATAGGCACCCAAAGAAATATGTTTCTTATCCAATCTTCTTTCTTTCATGCAGTTTCTGCAGGGACACAATTAAGGCTATTTATGGTCCCAATTCAAAGGAGCTTAATAATTTCAACAGCACAATAAGAAACTCTTCTAGTTAGATTTTGTGGGCTTTGGATTCTTAAATGTTCAAGGTTGTTTTCTTGTCTTCACCTTCATTAATTATTATGCTGGTGGGAGTTTTCTTGTTTATCACTTCTGATGTATGCTTTCTTGAACTAATGCATGTTCTGCTTGAATCTACAAAGTATAACCTATCAGAACATTTTCCTTGAAGCTATTTTAAGCTCTTTTGGGGGGGGAATTATTGATCATTGTCATATATCTTATTCTGGGGTAACTGAAGGACCCTAATTAGTAAAACCAACTATTTAGTGAATGGCTGAATGCTGAAACAACAAGCAAGCCTTTTCCTACTAGTTGGGTTGAGACTACATGGATCAAATGAAATGATGCTATAATTTTCCCACTAACTCTTTAATTCTTTTGCCTATAATTTTTTCTTAGTCTCCCTCTGCCTCTAGTGACTAGGCTATCCTCCATTTGATATACTCTCCTTACTAAGGCTTCTAAGGTCATCCCCACACATGCTCAACCCACTAAGGCAAGAATATACCATCTTTTCTACAGTAGGTGCTACCCCAACTTTTTACCTTTTGCATTCATTTGTAATCCTATGTTTTTTAATATGTCCCACTCATCTAATGCAGAACTCTCATATCTACTACATCGATTATACTCTTGGTTTTTCACTGCCCAACATTTACTTCCATACAAAATCACTGGTATTTGGTTGTGGTAAATTTTCCTTCATGCTTGAGTGGCAAGTAACACGGGAGGCACTCCTCCATCCTGCTTGAATCCTCTATATTTAGTGACTGCCATATTAAAAAAATGTAATGACTAGAGTTCATCAAATAAGAAATTGAGAATCTTGTTCCATGGAGGCAACTTCTTTCTATGAAACGTATTGACTACAAACAGAAGCTATTCCCTGAAATTTTTAAGATGCCAAAATTATAACTGGAATTGGATTGTATACTAATTTCAACATTTATGACAGCAGGCTTTTCACTGCCTTGCATCTTCTCTTGGAAGGGAGGAATTCTCTGCACAATGCATGTGTTTATGCCTTTCAAGCACTGCAAATCAGTATCTATTCTTATTGAAGCACAGTCACTATGATGGTGTTCCTAGACCGGCACAAAAACTTCCATTTAAAATTAAATATTACTTTCTCATGTTCCTCCTATATGACTATGCTCATGAAATGCTTGCTTTGTTTATCGTGGTTGAGGTCTCCTATGCCAGGTTTTCTGCTTTTCCTCTGGTCAAACAGAAGCAGCAGCAGCAACAGCTCACTATTCAAAGCATCATCTGCAGTTGATTGCTAAACTCTGAGCACTTGGAAATATGAGCTTAGATGGATGGTTAATAGAATAGAAGTTGAACTGATTTGAATGGGCTAATTGGATCATTCTATTGCTTAATAGCACCGTTGTCCTAGGTTCGATATATCATGGATGCTATGTTTTTTATCATGATAGTTTATTTAGTTTCTTTTTTTATTTGGTACTTTATTTTAAACAATCTGTATTATCTGTACTTACAAGAATAATACCGATTCAATGATCATCCACTTCCTTGAATGGAATATCCTGTATATCATCAGATTCAGTAATTTGCCAGCCTAAAAGAAAGAGCATTACCCAGTGTATGTGTTTTTTTTTTATTTCTTATTTTGATAGCAGCGTTTTCCCTCTGCACTAGAAGACTCAAATTGAGAAAAACTATTTACTTTTGCCATGCATTCAAATGCAAATCTAGGTTAGTCTCTCTGTTATCACATGTATCATAATTTATTTCATTTACGTTTGCAGCAATTTGAGAAGGCTTGTGATTGCATGTTCATTATGTAATGCAGCATACCCTGAAAATTTTCTTTTAGCCGATAATATGGTGATAATGTTAGAGCCCTACAGTTGTAGATAAGTAACTCCTATTGTCTGTAAATAAGGTCTTGTGCTATGCCCCTAGAAATAGAAGAATGAAAAAGTAAAATATCTTAACTAGTGGAAACTTTCCATATCGATTGAATGAGCTGGTATGGAATTCAGAGATGCCTGCATACCTATTATTGATTTTTTTCCCCAAAAAAATGAAGGGGGTTTGAACGGTGGATTCTCGTGCTGATTCTAGCAGGAGAATTTGTGGTCCATTAGGAGTTCATAGATACGAATGTCGTTTGAAATAGATAAAGCTTGTTCTTATGACTTTTTTGGCACTACTTATGCTCTAAAATTTTGCCGAGTGAAAAATATTGGCCGCAAAAGTTGCAAATATACTATAACAGATCCAAAATATCATTATAGTGTTGGAGCTGTAAGCAATGTATTACACATAGGACGACCTGGAGTCATCCTACATTCCTACTCTCTTTGGAAACTATTGTGATGTAAGTTACTATTATGTGAAATTCGAATTTTTTTAACCGGGTGCTATCTCTACTCTCCAACCTTTGTATCAGAAAAAAAAAAAAGTTATTACGTGTTATAAAAAAGTTTACTAGGTGCTACTGTCTTCTTTTGAGTGACAAGGACTAGAGTCTAAACACAGACTCTGGGAAATGCAGAAGAATCCAAATCCAATTGTCAATAAAAATAATGGTCACGCATGACTTTATTTTTGTATACACAAGATTGCTGAGCAATGCTAAATGTGAAGTACAACACTATTTATTTTTCCTTTTTGTTTCTACTAGATTGCTGAGCAAAACCTAAAATATGAAGGACAACAGAACCCTATGTCGCATTGTAAAGATGGTTATGAACATTGGCACCTTTCTTTCCGCTTTGATGAATATCTCCTATGGACCGGAACAGTCAAACTAGAAGAAAATAATTTCTCATCGTTTTTCATAAACAAAAAATTGAGGCTGACCTATACTGTGCAGGAGGTATTTTGTATTTTTGTTTACAATCGGTATATCAAAATCATATTACGCTGCCAAGGTCCAGTTCATCCCCAATGTCATCATCATCTTCAAATAATTTCAAGAGCCGAGCCTGGTCCTGTTCCCTTATCTTCTTTTGCCAGAGCTTATATGCACCCACCACTCCAAGAATGAGTATAATTGAAACCAAAGCACTCAGCAAAACCACAACAGTGATATGCATTCCTTTTCCATCATCATGCTCACCAACTACAAAACATGAATAAAATTATTTTTTTAAATGCATAAAATTCAATAAAGATAAGCAAGTAAATGAGTAACAATGCAGGCATACCCAGAACATAAAATTCAAGTGCTCTACATAAATAAAAGGTGGGTTGGGAGAGGGGGAATTTGATGATATTTCTCTTCTCTTTGCTTGACAAAATAACTTATACGAAATCCGGAAAGGTTCGTTCAGATATGCAAGGAAGAGGAACAAACTAAATACTGGCATACCCAGTAATTCCACAGGTTGACAGGTAAATAAAGATTCAATATTAAAAAGGAAATAATTATGCATACAAGATCGTGAACCAAGATAATGAACCCTATGTACTTCTCTCTCATCTTTAATGGATGCAACATTCCTCCATCAAATTGGTTATGTCATAAAATCAATTGTTCGATATTAGTAAATAATTCTCCTTTCTGTTATCTTTTATTTTTATCAAAAAACTCATTTATTCAAAGAAAAAATTGCTATAATTAAATCTAAAATGTGTTAAGCCTTTTAGGTTTGTTATCAGTAGTTACTAGTTAGCTCATAGAAGTGTTGTAATCAAATGGTATTCCGACTCTAGTACTTTTGTAGCATTTTTAGCAGTTTTCCACAATTGAGGATGTTTGCATAGTATACACAACACAAAAGACGAACAGAATAATTTAGCTTATTATTATTTTACAATCCGAATTAAAAGTTTATTGAATTTAAGTTATCTTTTTTATTTTATTTTAAATACCCAAGTTTTCCGTAATAAACGAATACTATACTTGCAAAACTGAGGCCTACTTGCTCTTTTGTTGACATAGATGATTTATTGAAATGTAAGCAATAAGCACTAGAACTAAAGATCAAAAGAAACATTCATACAAATTGAAACCAAATACTTTTGATAAATACACAACTTTTGCAGGTACTCACCACCAACAAGAGATAAGCACTCCGGGCAAAGAAAAGTAGCATTGAATTCCTTTTCCTTGAACCGAATATATTCACCATGAGGTGCAGTAAAGTCAGAAGGACAAAACTCCCATTCTTCAAGTACATCATCCGAAGTAATGCTGTCCTCCTCATATAGTCCACATCGCTTGCATTTTTTACTTGAAAAGTTTATTAATGGCTGGAAGCACAAAGCAAAATCTCAGTATTGGCCTCAAACAATGACACTTGCCGCTCAAAGATACTAGGAATTTAATGACTACGCTTCAGGTTCCTAATTTTCCATTTCCAGGACTCAAGGTCACAAACAGAGTCCCCTTGAACCAGAACCAGACAATCAGTATGTAATTAGAGACTTGTTATGTAGTCAAGTGTTGGAAATTAATAATTCCTTGGTAAAAGAGGTACGGGACCCAAACTTGCGGTAAATCACACGCGTCCCAATCCCATATAAAGTCTTTAAATTCACGTTACATCATTAAAGCACCAACAAATGTGATTTTAGGCAAATGTTTTGTTCAGACCAAAATTAATTGAGTTGAAGGAACCATAGACCACTTTTGCATCAGATAAAATATTATATACTGAGATTTACTACTACTTGGTTTCTAAAATGAAAACATGCAAATATGCAAACATATAATTCGCATCACTTCATTTACTTTTACTGAATTCCATATGGACATAAAATAAAACAAAAAAAAAAAATAGAAAGCTGAGACATATAATTAGTTAATGGAAAGCCAAAAAGGAGAAGAAAGAGGTAGAAGGAACCTGCCAAGTTTCTTGGCCATTGAAAGCATAAAGGACGTGAGGTTTCTTGATATCTAGAAGCAGCGTCATGTTGTCCCCCTTGCATAGGAAATACACAGTGGAAGTGGCTTTGAGCCACTCGTGCGTTCTGAATATCTCAATGGATCGCAGCGAAACAAGCGCACATAACGCGAAACCTGCGGAAATGCAAACAAATAGAGAATCCAGTGAGTATGAGAAAAATTGAGAAATGAGGAAAAGAGAATGAGAGAGAATTGACCTGGAAAAGAGGAGAGGAGAATGGAAGAGACGAAAAGGAAAAGAGGAATGGTGGACATGGTGAGAAGTGGAATGGAGGAAAATGGAGGTTGGAGGAAGGTTTTGAGTGTGGGAGACTGACTGGGTCGTGATCTGGTCTACGCAACGTGCGCAATACGCACCTGACTACGCAATCCAAGCAAGCTGCCACGTCACCGCCGGCTGCGGCTGCCGTTGACTTCACCATATTCTAACTTCAACCCCGCTTACTCTTCCTTCTTCTCCTTCCTCACCCCAATCACTTCAACTTCACATTTGTTGCCTCATGTCGGTCCACACGTGAATCACATATGGACCATTCAACCATCTGAATTCTCGATATTTAAGTCTATAATATATCATATTTAATTTAATACATAAATTCAACCACTTAATTACTTATTATGATTTTCTAAAAAACTTACATTTTAATTATTAATTAAGTCTCACGTTGCACGTAAATTATTAACAGATATATCATCATATTTTCTCACATTTCTTTCATATATTTTGTAATTCATTCTCTCAATATTTTTGAACATCGAGTTAAAACTCTTAAAACACAAGTTGCTGCTATATATCATGTGAGGAAGATTGTAGCTGGTTGAAACTTGCAATCAAAGAACCGAATACGTGCGACTAAAACATAGTCTTAATCGCATGCATGGGTAATTTCATTTGAATATTTACAACGCAGCAAGGTATTTTTCCTTTTTGTCTAAAAATATCTACCCCTGAAATGTTTTCCAGATTAGATTATTTGCCTGCTACTATGCTTCAAATTCACCATATTCTTACCGTGTTACACTTGCTATATGATCCTTGACTTGATGCACATTTGAGTCACCATGAACGCAAATAATTTATTGCTCTTTTAGTGAAAGAAAGATGAGGATAGGGGGGAAAAAACAAACAAGAAAAGTTAGACATGAGTACTGTTACGTCAACAAATTAAGATTTAAGATTTTTTTTTTTTTTTTTAAATAGAAGACATGAGTATCGTTACTTCTAAAATCATTTGTTTATCTGATTTTGAAAAGTCAGATTTTGGAAGTTTGAATTTTTAAAATTGGATGAGAATCAATTTTAAAAGTAAACTTTTAAACTCTCAACTCTATATTTTAAAATCAATTATTGCATAATCAATAACCGATTTAAAAAAAATGGTTTTTTAATAGCAATTTTAATTTTTGGACAATTTCAAACAATTTTTAAATTAAACTATACCAAATAGTTCATATATCAATTAACGAGTTTTTAATATATAGATCAAAATGTCTACATTTTTTATATTACTCTTCAATCCACACATAATATACATAAATGAAGTGTTAAAGCTATAAGTGTCATCCACACATAATATATATATATATATATATAAAATGAGGGATCAGCTTATTCTAATAGTAAGTTTACCTAAACTTACTTTATTCAATAACTCATGTTTTACATCAAATTTTAATAATTCAATCATTAAATTAAAAATCTTAATGCATAGATCTATCTGTAAATTTTTTAAAAGTTTGAAAACTATTTGATACTTTATTTTATTAATTTAAGTCAATATATAAAATATTTTTATAATTTGAATTAATAAAATTGAGTATTAAATAATTTTAAAATTTTTTAAAAATTTACAAATTTTATCTATCCATTAAAAACTTTTAATTTAAAAGTTATATCAAGACTTAATCTTGGAGTAAATGGATATATCCTTTCTCATATATCTCCAAGAATACTCTTAAATAAATGTGAGAAGGGGTTTGTTTACCCTAAGAGTAAGTCAAGTAAATCATAGTAGACTTACTCCACTAGTGGAAAATCAGTATTTTACATCAGCGTTTTCTCGTTAGTTATAAAAATACTCAACGTAAAAAATACGCGATGACATTTTTGAAATTAATCTAAACTTTTTTACGTCAGACCAAAGGGGGTCCGACGTAAAAATCAAAATCTACGTCGGATATGAAGTACAGTGTTAGAAAAGAATGACACAATCCAAGAGGGGGGTGAATTGAATTCTATGACCCTTTAAAAATTTTCAGAGTATTTAGGATCTTTATTTCACTTAAACTTTTCTAAGACTGAATTTTCAAATGAAGCTTCTTTAAAGACTTGTTATGAAAGTATGAATGCTTTATGCTTTCTTGATTACAAAATAATGAGGTTCAAATGTAATGCTCTAATTCAGATTAAACCATCAATATTCACACACACAAGTTAATCAAGAATTATCTTCTTTAATATCCAACCAAGAAATTACTCAAAGTAAAAGATAAAGGTAGAAGAAGATTGCACAAGTCTTTTATACTGGTTCAGCCACTCCACATGTGACCTACATCCAGTCCTCAATCAACACCTGATCAAGATTTTGTTCCACTATCTCAAGGAAGAAGGTTTACAAGCACACACACATGCATATACTTCAACACTAAAGATAACCACTTTCTTGACCCCAAGAAAGCACCCCTTGTAGAAACCCACTACAAGAAACCTTACCACTTGAGAAACCCTTCTCAAGATTTTACAAGTATTCACACAGAATAAAGGAACGAATTCACCTGGAATTCAGAAGCAAATCTTAATCTTCCCCTTTCAAGAATATGATGATGATGATGATCCTCTAACAAAGTTTTTCACAAACGTTTTTACTCTTGGATTTCACAAAGAAAACTCTCCAAGATGGTCACAAAGACTCCACAAAAACGCTTTTCTCAAATTGATTATCAGTTCTAACTCTTGTCTGAAGTTTCTAAAAGTTCAAACTATTTATAAAAGTCTCAGACGCAGATAATCGATTATTTTAAAGAATAATCGATTATTTTGTTCTTCAGGTTTTCTGGAAACCAACCAAGAACAATATAATCGATTATTTTGCTGGATAATCGATTATTCCAGAGAGTTGTTCCTGGGATAATCGATTATTTTGACAAATAATCGATTATTTCAGCAAGGCATCCCATTTTGCCTGTTGCTGGAATAATCAATTATATTTAACGATAATCGATTATTTTGAGTTAGTTTTCACAACTTCATTTTAAGCCTCAAAATAACTTTCTAACCTTTTTAACCCATCATCATACACTCTCTACTTAGCTTAGATATAGATTTGCTCATGCACACAGCATACACAACACACTAAATCAATCAACACAATTTATACACTTATTCCTATTACATAGTATTGACTTTTCTTTGACTTTGTTTTTGTGCTTCCAAGTTGTTGTTGTACACACACATTGTGATCATAAGTTGTTGTTGTACACACATGTTGTGATCATCAAAACTCCTTTAAGCTTCAAGCTCTCCTAAGCTCAACATACAGTCCGGCGTAGATTTCAATTTTTACGTCGGACCCCTTTTGGCCCGACGTAAAAAAGTTGTTTTATTCCCCCCAACACCTTTGTCTTCATTGTGTGCGCAAGTGTTTTTACATTGTTTAATTTTCCTCAAGGGTTTTTCTCTAGCGATTTCTGGCAACGGTAGTATGAGACCTTTGAGTGTTTTTCGGTCATGGTGAACAACAACGACAACAACGGCGAGACCCATTTTTGATTCTGAACGTATCTCTCCGATTGGGTTGAAGCATTTAGGCGTTTTTATGGATTGAGGTTAGTGCTTTCATGCGTGTGTTGATCTTTTTGTGTAAAAATGTTGTTTTATTCCTGCACGCGAATGTTTTGACACTGTTTTCCTCTCCAGCGATTTTCGGCGACAGCAATGCGAGACCTTTGGGCGTTTTTCGTTCACTGTACACGGCGGCAAGACCCATTTTTTATTCTAGACATATCTCTCCGATTGGATTGAAGTATTTGGGTATTTTTTGGATGTATTCACGGATTGAAGTTATTTTTTTGTTTGTCTGTCAACCATTTTACGTCGGACGTAGAGGATGTTCGACATAATTTTATGTCGGTTAAAACACCCGACGTAAATTTATGTCTCCTACATTGACATCAGACTTTTTTTTTACGTCAAAAGTCCAAAATAACATACGTAAAATGTCTCTTTTGTACTCAAAGAGTAAATATCTTGTAACAATATTTTGATTTGTCATTAATCAACAGTATTGTCTGAGTCACTTTAAATTAATGACAAATTTTTAAATGTCACAAAAAATAATATTTATTGTGATGAAATTATTGTTATTAATATTTATAAATAATAATAACAAAATTAAGTTATCACAAATATAAGAGATAAATAATAATTGTCAATCATAGCGAATATCACTATTTTAGTGTCAAAATTTTCAAAATTAATTATTATTCTATTTTATTATCATTTTGTCATTATTTTTTCAAATAATAATTCAAAGAAAAGTTGGTCTAATCCCATGACTTTTCAAGTAGTATTACAAGAAATTATAATTATATAAAGTTTTATTGTTGTGATGAAATGAAGCACTTACAAAAAAGTATTCTTTTGATTTTGATAAAAATAAATATTCTAAATATAAAAAATTATATTTTAAGTTTATATATTTTTAATAAATAATTTAAATTGTGACAAGATTATTTTTTAAAATATAAACGAATATTTTGTTAGCAAAAGTAAATAAATAAAGATGAAAAATAATAAGAGTAATGGAGATTGATGATTGATGAAAATATTGTTTAGCTAGTTGAAGGGATAGTATGTGAAAAGTGACTAATTAAAATCATTTTTTACACTACTTTAATTTTCTGATTTTCACTTATTGGGTGAATTAAACTTGTTTTTCATCACTTGGATTTTTGAACTTTGAACGATTAATCACCAATCATTTTCATGTCAACCCTATTACTCCAATTTGATATATTTAAATAATTTGTTAATACATTAATATTAAATATTTATGATAAATTATAATAAATATAAATACTTCATCAAGTTTTAAATGATGGAGAATTTGACACTTATCGCAGAAATTAAATGACAACTTTTCTATACAAGTCACTCATAAATTATAATATTTGTGATAAAGTTAGCTCTTTTTTTTTTTGTCACAAATAAATTTTTTTATGTTTAATAAAATTTGTATTAGTAAAAATTATAAAATAAAAAATAAAATTATAGATATTAGTGTCAATTTTTTTACAAATATTTTTTAATCATTATTAATAAAATTATAGTGACAATTAATTTTTTGTCACTATTATAAATAATACTATTGATAAAGAAAAACTTAGTCACTAAAAATATATAATTAGTGACAAGTTTTACTTTTATCACTATTTTTCTGTCACTAATAATAACATTCCCTATAGTGATATTTTATTTATTAAAATGTTAAGTGATCATCTTATATGTTACTCACAATCTTTAGTGATGTCATG